CTGGAGAGAGTCCAGCGGAGGGCTACAAGGATGATGAGGGGACTGGAGCATCTCTCCTACGAGGAGAGGCTGAGGGAGCTAGGCTTGTTTAGCCTGAAGAAGAGAAGGCTGAGAGGGAATCTTGTAAATGCTTATAAATATCTCAAGGGTGGGTGTCAGGAGGACGGGGCCAGGCTCTTTTCAGTGGTGCCCAGTGACAGGACAAGGGGCAATGGGCACAAATTGAAGCACAGGAAGTTCCATCTGAACATGAGGAAGAACTTCTTCACTTTGAGGGTGATGGAGCACTGGAACATGCTGCCCAGGGAGGTTGTGGAGTCTCCTTCTCTGGAGATATTCAAAACCTGCCTGGACCAGGTCCTGTGCAGCCTGCTGTAGGTGACCCTGCTTTGGCAGGGGGGGTTGCACCAGATGACCCACAGAGGTCCCTTCCAACCCCTAACATTCTGTGATTCTGTATTGCAGTACTTCTGACTGTGTTACCTTACCGCTGGTTTACAGGTCCTAAAGAAGGAATGCAAAGCAAGCGTCAGGAGAAAAAGCATTTGTCTGCTTTTAGTACATCCATACACACACATTCATAGATGCATGCAGATAAATCGGAGCACAAAGAAATCAAATCCTGCAACTAACAGAGCTGCCAACAGATATGAGTATGTTAGATTACTTATTCACAGGCTTGTATTTCTAGGGAACATTGTCACAGAGGAAAACAAGAAGCAAAGATCATAGTCCTTTCCTCCCGGGACCCTTCAGGCTTAATATCAGAGTAGCAGTCTCCTCTAGTTAAAAGCTGTAGCCATGAGCCAAACAGAGTACAAACACAAAGAAAAGACTGAATATTGTATTTGCTGACCAGAAGTGAGCTCGTCTTTACAATTCATAATGAACAATAATTAGTTATGCACCTTGCTCTGGGACAAGAGAAGACAAAAATAGTTGGAGTTTCTTGCAGTACAAACTGTCGTCCTGTGGTCATTTTCTCTATGAGCCAGCTTACCTCTCTGCACAAACTCTGGACAAACTTCATCAGGGAACAAACTCTCTCACCATATCCTGCTCATCAAGCAGTTATTTTACAGGTGAATTCATTGCTTTGCTGTATGATTAACTTCTTTGTCAGGGCAAAAGAAAGGTCACAAATCCAGATTCTCAAGAGTAAGCAAGGGAAAAAGTTTAACAGGAGTAGAGCTTTCAAGAACTTTCCAATTTTATTCTTCTGTGTGACAAAACCTTCACCTCTCTTTCTTTCTGATTCTAGGACGCAACACTGAAGTTGCTGGTCCTGTAACAATGTACGATGCCTGTAAACAGGGTATAACAGATAACCCTCTTCTGATCACACCCCATGTAAAAGGTGTGATCAGAATTGCACCCAGCACTGAAACAGGTCTTACTATTCACCTAGAAAGCTTTGTTCCAATTTGTCTGGTAGGCCTAGAGGACAGTAAACTCACTTCTCATAGTTATCTGTGAAATACCAGATGCCCACTTTAATAAGGAACAGATGTTGAATTAGGCCATCCTAAATGTGAACATGGCACAGACGTCAATAAATAATACATGTACATGTTCCAAAGTTACTCTCTATGAAGCTAAACTTTCTCAAAACAATACACGTAATATTTCATGGAACTGCTTGTCATTGTAGAATTCTACACATGTCCTAGTGAGAGTTCCATGAAGTCCAAGCACTGAAAAGCCATGCTGTTTTAGTGTAATAATAACCATAGCCCAGGGATTACCAATTCATACAAGGAAGGGACTACCTGAAAGACCAAAGTTTGGGATGCTCTGATTAAGCCCACAAGGAAATTTATGCCTCTGGGAGAAAGAGCAAGCGACTGAGGAGATCTGGGTCCTAAAAGCAAGCGCTGTGTGATGTTAGGAAAGGTAGAAAAGCATCTCCTTCTTTCAGCTTTTATCTAATTTGAGGCAATGAATATCTTTTACGATTTTACTTGGTGCAATGATGAACACAACAAGGGCTCTGTCTCAGTGGGGCTCAGAGGTTGGTACTGAAATATCCTCAGTACTGGGAAGAAACATACATATATATATACACACACACACTGCTAAATGACATACCGTTCTCTTTTCTGGAGGATATGACATCATCTTTGTACCAGACATGTAAAACAGGCAGTAAACACACAAACATATGCATTTGTTTAGAAACAGCATGCAACTGCTCAGCCAACAGTGTCAATTACTGCACTTTGCAAAACTAAAAAAAAATTTATTGGAAGAATTCCAAGATGAATTGTTAAAAATTCTTGAACTCTGTTCAGATGAAAAGCTAGTACTAATATGAATCCATATCATACAGAATATTATGTGAAGTTCTGTCACTAGATCCCAACACCAGGTGCCACGTGTCAAGAATTACACAAAAATAGATTATGAAATCACACTATTTGTTATGGTAAATATCCAGTCTTCTCTCAAATTGTCATAATTTAAATATACAATGAAAGGTTTCATCAGTGATTATGATGCCTACTTCCTTGACAAATCTCTGCTAGAAATACACATAGATGAGCCACACTAACAAGCTGAGAGCATGCAATGATACAGGAAAGGATAAACAGTTCCATCACCAGCAAATACTATATTAATTCCAATAATCAATATTTATACTGCAATGCTAGATTGCAACCATGCTGGTGACTTTTGGGATAGGAACTGCTATTACAACTACCCCTTCTCTAAGCAATGTCAGAACTGTTATGCAGCCCTGCTAGGGAACGAGGTGGCCGAGACAGTTTAGTGCCTATAAAAACAGAGGGTTTGTAAAAAACAGAGAGTTGTAAAAAAAAGAGGGTTTGTATTACACGGTGAACATTATTCTTATGATATTTCTAGGGTTTGAATGACCATCACTATCAGGCATATGGTATGAAATTCATTTAGCATCGATTAGTTTAATGCTAAATAATCTGTTCACCTGCTCTCCACTCCCACCTATAGAGCTAAAATACTGCAGGCTTCCACATGATGTTATCTTCTTTGCCAGACCTTATTTTTGTTCTGGGCGCTTTATATCATTGAGTAGGTGAGAAACGCTATATTGCTTACGGCCAAGTTCTTTTTTTTTATTTTCTTTTCTGCTGAAGATGGCGTAGTAAATTATCAACCAGCTGCTTTGTTCCGTTTTTCTCTCCTGATTCTGTTAACAGCTCATGAGAAACCAGCTCTCCCCACCACCTCCTCCCTCTCTCTGCCTCCCAGTTATTTTATTTTTCACTGGTTCAGTTCTTCAGTGGGTGGTGATTGCAGCAATGAAAGTCTCCCTCCACCCTTTAAAAAACATTATACTGTTCTTAAGACAACTAGAAAAAGAGTGGCACTGCTCACTCCCGAGACGGCTGTAGAGAAATAAACAACATCTGTGAAACCCCTACATGAACACTTTAAATTGTTTGAACTGAAGTCAAGAAACTTTGGTTTCCCAAGGCTCTGGTAAGAGGTTTAGAATCACCGATGCTCCTCTTTGTGCTAGTTAGGATATTAATTGGAAATATTATCTGGAAAAGAAACCGCTGATGCTTTGAAAGGTACTTTTCCCCGCTCTGTAATTCTTGCTAATCTCTTAAAAAGGAAAAAAAGCAACATCTTCACTTGGTGTAAAGCAGCACTGTGTCAAAAGCAGTAATCCTTCCACGCAAGCACAACTTTGCAAATCAGTCATTTAAATAAATACCCCACAATTAATTGAGCTATCACCAGTATCATCGCGTTAACTTCTCATGTGGCCAAACACACGATAGCGTATTTGGACAGCAGTTACCTACCCCACTGAAACTCACACCTGCTACCTGTCATGCCAAGTAACGTCTCTCAGAGCGGAGAAACTGAGGTTGTCCACAACAAACTGTAAAAGAGCGGTAGAGTTTTGAATGTGAGAGGGTCAAAGGTGTAACTAACTCCTCTTGAAAGCATGGCAATCCTATCAGCTGGCTTAAGTTTTAGCCCCCTGCCCCCCCGATTCGCTGCACTCATCTATCATGGTACTTGCATCTACACGCCCACTTTAAACACTCTAGTTTCGCAACACTTATAAACATCTTGGGTTCTTAGCAAGAGAAGAACATTTTAGAAGACAGTTATTTCAAATCACAGGACATTC